CTCCCCCCCTGATATGTCCCCTATGTCGCTGGTTGGCCAACGCCAAGCGTCCCTGGCGGACACCGCCCGGTCCTGCCTTCCCCCCCCCCTCCCCCCCTGATATGTCCCCTATGTCGCTGGTTGGCCAACGCCAAGCGTCCCTGGCGGACACCGCCCGGTCCCTGCCGCACGGGGCCGCCACCGGCGGCGGCGGCGGCGGCAGCGGCCCCACCGCCGCCCTCGGCGCCACGCAGCAGGAGCTCCTCCTGCACTTTGACCTGGCCACCGAGCACCTCTACCTGCCGGAGGGTGTGGTCCCGCCGAAGGACCGCCTGCCGCCGGCCAGCGGGGAAGCCGGCCTGACGCTGGCCTCGACTCGGCGGCCGTTCCCCGGCTCCGGCTCCGGCTCGAGTCTGGTGACCGGCGGCTCCTCCTCCGGGCAGTTCGCGTCCCCCGGCGGCGGGCCGGCCGTCGGCCTCCAGCGCCTGCTGCCCGGGCCCGCGCCCTCCTCCGAGTCGCACTTCCTCTTCGGTGCCAATGCCGGGCCCGGCCCGTATGCCGACTCGAGCGCCCTCCTCCCCGGGCCTGGTCTGGCCGACGGGGGTCCCTTTTCGCAGCCGCGCTTCCTGACTCATGGGTGCGTCCCCCCCCCCCCCCCTTGCTATTCCTCCTTCTCGGCCGCCGCCTGCCCCATCGCTGCTGTGTCTCACATCTGCCCTGCTGACGGCTGGGCCCCTCCCCTGTGCCCCCCTTGTTCGGTTCGGCCCGCTCCATGCCATGCCACGCCGTGTCGCCTCTTCTCGCACCCCATGCCGGTTGCCGCGTGGCCCGGTCCAGATCCGGCGGCTATCCGACATCCGGCCACGGGGGCCCCACTCCGACGCCCCCGCAGCAGCAGCAGCAGCAGCAGCAGCAGCAGCAGCAGCAATACCAGCCGGACGCCCGGGCCATCGGGCCGGTGTCTGTCCAGCAGCCACCGCTGCCGCCGCCGGCACAGCAGCAGCCCCTCGGCACCCCCAGCCGCGGGGACTTCCACGAGCCTGGCTCTTTCACCCCCTTCGGCCAGCACCCCGGCTCGGCGCACCAATCCCCCGGCAGCCGGAGCGACTCGTCCTCCCCCCCGCAGCCGGGCGACCTGCACCGGGCCAAGCGCCCGCATGACGCCCTCCTGCCGGGCCCCGGGCCGGTCATCCACCACGGGCAGCACCATGCCCCGGGCTCGGGAGCCGCGCGCTACATGCCCAGCCCCCATGGCCTCGGACCCGGCAACACCCCGGGCCCGAGCCCGCACTATGCCGGCCTGCCGTATGCCGGCGGCCCGCGTCCGGTGCCGGCCCCTCTCTCGGAGGAGTATTACCACGGGCTGGGGGCCGGGCCGGGTCCGTTGGCGGCCGTCCCGCTCGATGTCGGCTTTGCCGGGGCCCGCTCGCCGGGGCAGCACGGCCCGGGGCCCGCCGCCGGGGGGGGCACCTTCGCCATCGGCACCAACAATGGTCCTGGCCCCGGTGCTTCCCTCTCTTCCGGCCCGGGGGGCTACACCCCGCGGCACTACCTGCCGGCGGGCGGGGCCTCGGCAGCCGCATCGCCCGTGGTCGGTGGCGACCTGCCCCTGCACAAGCGCCCGCGCGCGGCATCCTTCTCCGGGGGTCTCTCGTCGCCCCGGCGCCCGGGCACCGGGGTGCTTTCCCACTCGGATGAGGAATCGCCGGTCCTGCCGGCCGAGGACTCCTTCGAGGGCGGTGGCTCGTACGCCCCGAACGGCGGGTCGGCCGGGCCCCATGGCGGGTACTCGTACCTGCCGCCGCCGCAGTTGCTGGTCGGCGCGCGCTGGCTCCCCGGGGCCGGGGCCTCGTCGGCCCGTGGCGGCGGCAGCGGCCCCAACTCGCAGTCGGACTCGCGCTCGGCGTCGCCCTTCCCCGGGAGCGGCCCCTCCGGGGGCCGGGGCTCCCCGGCCGGCACCTCGCGCTCCCTCGTGTCGCGGCTCAATCACAATGCCTCGGAGCGCCGGCGCGCCCACAGCATCAATGATGCCATCACCCGGCTGCGGCAGCTGGTCCCTGGCTGTCGGTCGTCCCTGGTGACGGACACCGGGGAAAAGATCAGCGGCAATGAGAAGGTCACCAAGTCCGATGTCCTGCACAAGACATGCACCTATGTGGAGGACTTGCAGCTGGACTATCAGGAACTCCTGGCCCACATCGACCGCATGGGCCGCGAGATGGACCGGCTGAAGGCGCAGCTGGCGGCCGCCCGTGGGGGGGACCGTGCCGTCACCGGCGCCTCGGCCCAAAAGCCCCCCGGCCGGCAGCATGAGCAGCGGCAGCAGCAGGCCGGCGAGTTGGCCCTGCCGCCGCCGCCGTCGCAACAGCAGCAGCCGCAGCCGCAGCCGCAGCCGCAGCAGCCGCAGCACCATCTCCCCGGGCCGCCGTATGATACGGTGTCCTTGCCGGGCGCCGGGGCTTCGCCGGTCCTGCAGCAATCCCCGAATGCTGGTGGGCCCGCCATGCAGACGCTGGCCCGGTCGTCGGGCATGCATTCGCAGCAGCGCTTCGCCCCGCCCCACATGTATGCCGGCCACCCGGGCGTGGCGCCGAGCATGTTCGGCTCCCCCCGGTCGCTGTCTTCCTCCTCCTCCTCCTCCTCCTCTTGCTCCTCGGCGGCGGTGTCCTCCTCCTCCGAGCCGGAGGACGACCTGAACTCGCCGCACATGCCGGGCCCCGGCAGCGGCCACGGCGGTGGCACCGACCACTTCTCCCCGTCCCAGGCTGATGCCTCCTCCTCCGGGCCACACGGCTTCCCGGTCGGTCCTTCCGTCAGCACGGACGGCCTGTCGCAGCATCTGGCGGCCAGCCCATTTGGCGGCCCGCCGGTCAGCGGTGCGTTTGCCCTCTCTCCCTCTTTCCTTTCCTTCCTTCTTCCCCCTCGCTCGCCGCGTGCACCCCGCGCGCCATGTGCCTTGCCATTCTCTTGCATGGCGACTGCCCTGCTCTCATCCTCGCCCTGGGCGGGCCCCCCCTTCTGACGCGCTTTGTGCTGCCATGGATCCCCCCCGGTGCCGATGCTCCCCCTCCGGCGCTCTTCTCACACACACACACACACACACACTCGACCCACCCCCGGTGCAGATGGCTTTGGCATGGTGGAGGCGTATGGCGCACCCGGGTCCGGGGCCTTTGGGGCGGATCCCCTGGCCGCGGGTGCCCCGGCGGCCGGTGACGCCACGGCCGACGGCCAGATCAACACGCTGGAGCTGCTGGCCCCGCGCGAGCGGTCGCACGTTCCCCAGACCACCGGCACGGCCTTCCTGGAGTATGCCTCCTCGGTGTTCATCTTCATCACGGTGTTCATCTACCTGCCGATGGTGTTCGACCGGGCCACCAACGGCTCGACCAAGGCCGCCCTGTCGTCGGCCATTGTCGGCATGCCGGGCTTCCAGGGGGCCACCGGGGCCGGGCTGGCCGGGGCCGGGGGCACCTTGGCACACCTGGCCGCCGGGGCCGGCAACAATGGCACGGCCGATGTCCTGGCCGCGCCGGACCAGCTGCCGGGCCTGGTGAACTCGCTGTCCTCCAGCCAGAACCTGGTCCTGTCGCTGGTGGCCCTGGTGCCGGACCTGTCGGACCCGCTGTTCCCGGTCCGGTCGCTGGTGTACTCGGGGCTGGTGCTGGCCCTGAAGGTGTCGGTGTCGGTGGTGGTCTTCCGCCTGCTGCTGCTCCGGGCCACGGTCAATCTGTCCTCCTTCTCGCAGATGCGCCAGCGGGCGGAGCGCGCGCGTGCCCTCCGCCACCGGGCCGACGCTCTGGTCTCGGCCGGCAGCATCAACAAGGGCCGCGAGCTGTATGCCGAGGGGCTGGAGCTTCTGTGGGGCCGTCCCCTGCGGGCCATCTACTCGGCCAACCTGCTGTCCCCGCTGACGCGCTCAACCGTGGCCGAGCGCTTCCTCAACTTCTGTGCGTGCCATGCCGCCCCCTCTGGGTCTTCCTCCCCTCCTTTCCCCCCCCCCCCCCCAGCACAAAAGGGGAAGAAGAGAGAGGTATCCCACCCCAAACCAAAGAAATAAACAGCAAAAAAAACCAAAGAGATAATAATTTAACCCACACCAAAACCCTCCCCCCCCCCCCCCCACCCCCCCCCCCCCCCGGCAGGCGTGCTCATCCACACGACTCTCTTCCTGCTCTTCCACGGAGTTCTCTACATCTCCAACCGGGTGCCGGTCTTCCGAATGATCAGCAACCGGATCCTCCACCTGCCCGGTCTGGACGAGGTGACCAGCGAGATGGTGGCCCTGCTGTATGGCATCTTCAAGCACCAGCCCTACGAGACATGGCACACCTCGCTCCAAACCTACTCGTATGCCCTGGCCGCGGTCAACATGGAGGAGACCAAGCACTCCAACAGCGAGATCCTCACCGAGTTGCTGGCCTACTTCTCCATCGGGATCGAGCATGTGCGTGTCGCCGTGCTGCATGTGGATCTCCCCGTGTCTCCGCCTCTCTGCCTTTTTGCCCCCCTTTCCACCCCTGTCCCGGGGCACACTTTCTAACATCCCCCCCCCCCCCCCCCCGCGCGCGCACCCCCTCGCATGCACCACTCCCGCACGCAGCTTGAGGTCCGCGACTTGGTGGAATACCTGCGCTCGCGGGCTCTCTACCTGGCGGCCGTGTATCATGGCCCGGAGCAGGTGGCCCGGGTCCGGGCCATTCTCCAAGCCCAGACCCCGCCCGACCAGCAGCTCTTCCGCATGGCCCGGTCGTCGGCCCCATACCTGGTGTCTTTCATCCTGCGCATCATCATGCTGCTGATGACCAGCGTCAATGCGGCCGTCAGCATGCGCGGCCTGCGTGAGGAGGAGCTGGCCCTGTTCCTGTCGGATGAGGGCGCCAGCGGTGCCGACGTGGCCACCACTGCCGCCGGGTCCTGCGTCCCGGCCGGGGTGGCGGCCCTCAAGGCGCCCCCTGCGGGGGCCGACGCCGGTGACCGCGACGGCGGCCCGGCCGAGACGACGACCCCCGCCGCCGCTCACGACGGCGGCGTCGCCGCCAGCACCGTCCCAGACATGGCCATGCTCGGCTCCTCGGGGACGGCCTCCCCCCTTGCCGAGGGGTGTCCCTCCTCGCCGGCCGCCATCTCCCTCAAGCAGGCCTAGCCTGCGCGTGTGCATCCCCCCCCCCCTGCTACGCATGCGAGACGCGGCTGGCTGGCTGGCTGGCTGGCTGGTGTTCTGCCATCGCGCTCCCCTCCCTCTCCCCCCTCGTCCTTGTGAATGGGTTGCTCCTCCTCCTTTGTATTCTAATTCCCCTGGAGCCGGGCCCGAAAGTGTGCTCGCGCACGTCCCCCCTCCCCCCC